CAGTGGGAACAGTTGGAGAGTCTCACTTCCCTTCATTTCCTCTTCTGCTCTCCTTGTGTCTTTCTGCATGTCCTGGAGGTTGGGGGAACCTGCTTCTCCCTTAACTTCCAGAATGAGTGTAGGAGATTGGTCACATCTCTAATGAGAAGCTGTAATGAAGTACAAAGACTGTTCAGATTGTGGGGGCTTCTGCGATGCACTTGGTTTGTATTCAGATCCGTATGTTTTGTAATGTATAAATGGGATCCTTCTCCAGCTGCTGTCAGACAGCTGTAGCTTCATCTACAGACACTTTCATGATTTGGAGGAAACTGCTCTATCTTCTGCGTTATGGACAGCCCTCCTGTGACGCTAATTTCTCTTCTGGGTTACTATGGAGACAGAAACAATTGTAATTGCTTGAAGGATTAGCAGTGGTATGACTTTGCAAGAAAGAAGTTCAGAAAACGCAGAAGAAACTCACGTTCCTGTGTAGAGAGCCAAAATCTGCATACAAGGCTGTCACAGCAGTAGCTAAGTGGTTAAGAACAATCTTCTGTTTGAAAGATTTAATTAAAAAAAGAAAAACCATGCTCAGCTGAAAAAACGTGACAAGGAATGTGACCACACCTGTGACTATGGGGGGGGAGGGGGTGAGCAGGACTACTTGTTTTTCTATCAGTTCTACCTGTTTCTTTCTGTGTGAGTGGTGCTTTATGAGTCTTTGAAAGAATCCTTATCAAATACATTTTCCAAGACTTTGGTTGGTTGAATGCTTTCTAATTTTATGGAATGGTGACTCAGAAGAATGAAAGTGTTTCTGTAGAATTATCTTTTTCAGTTTTTTTCCCCACCCTATTGGAAGGAAAGTATGCTATAAATGTTTATTTTTTTGTGTGAAGGTCTATCTGTATGTGCATATAAAAGCACATGAAAAATTCAATTATTTCACACCTTTTCATGTGATGTTTAAAATATTAATGACTGCTGACCCTGAATTGTGAGATTAAAATTAGTATCCTGTTTACTATCTCATCACAGTAGTATAAATTCAGACCAGTCTTTTAATCCTAGAAGCAGACCAATCTGTAATGTTGTGCTAGCCAGGTGACTTAGTAATTAGTTTCTTGGTAAAGTTGCTGAATTGATTGGTAGAGATAGATTGTACTAGTAAGTAAGCATGAACAAAGTTTCCAGCTGTTTTGGTCAGTATAGACTGAGCACAGCTGAGAAATACATCACTCTGATTTCTTTTCCTCATTTACACAGTGTCATGACTGAAAGCTGCTTGCAGGACTGAGGAGCCCTGAGAATGATGCTGATAGCTTTTTAGGCACTGCAGACTTGCTTCTGTAATAGTAAAGGGTCTCTGGGCATTCCTAGGTTTTGCTTGCAAAAGATCTGAAGCTGATGACCAAATCCTGCCTCAGTGTCTTTGTGAAAGTGTGGGAGATACACAGGGGTGCTCACATTAGGCTTTCCATTCAGGGATGACTGTCACTATTGTAGTCTGTGCTACTCTTTCATGATGTTTTTTCCAACTTTTCTTCCTAGAGCTTTCAGCCTTCAAGAGTCTTTTATAACTAATTAGCTTTATTGTTTATATTACTCTCATACTCTAATTAGAGTAATCAAATCATGGGGATCTTGAAGCTCTCCTCTTTTTCCTCTAATTGTTTTTGCTTTGTGAAGCCTGGCTATTTCCTGCTGCTTATTCTTGCCCATGCGTTTTTACTTTCTGCAAATTGATGTTGTCCTGTACTAATGGTTTTCTCTTTTTCTGAAGAACCTTCCAAGTTTTACTGTATTGGCCATTCTTGTCAGCCTGTGAAGACCTATAGTACCATTTGAGAATTAATTGCAAGGGACACGCTAGCCAGTGGGAATAACAGATATGCAGAAGAAAGAAGGTGATGTTTTTAACTATGTTTATGAATTTTTTGGATTGTGTATTAGGAAGAATTTATTTTCAGAAAGAGTGGTGATGTATTGCAACAGGCTGTCCAGGGAGGTGGCATCACCGTCCCTGGAGATGTTTAAGGAAAGGGTAGATGTAGTATTAAGGATATGGTTTAGTGGGCAATATTGATGGTGCGTGGACAGTTGGCCTAGATAATCTTGGAGGTCTTTTCCAACCTTAATGATTCTAAGATTCACTTCAGATTAAATTGTTTCAACTATCTTCCACCAAGCCTTGGTTGTCTCCTGGTTGCCACTGTTGTAGTTGTTTTGCCCTTCAGCACTGTTTGTCTGGTGGTCGCTCATTCATGGTAGCAATGAATACTTTCCATGCACTCTCAGGCAAGGAGCAGAATATATCAGCTCTTGTGTCTTGAAACTGAAATTTTCAAGTTCATTCAAGTTTGTCTGAACAAACTGCCAATTCTGAATTTGCCAGAGTCTCATAGCTACTTCAGCCATTCTGCTGTCAGCACTTCGTCTCAGTAGTGGAAACCTACTGGGTTAAAAGCAGTTTCAGAATTTTTTTTTCCAAACTCATATGTGACTACCAAGCAACTGTGTACACAGAGACAGCATGATCTGCTGTTTCACCTTCTGCTTTCCTTTTCACCCATGTGAGAATTTGTGTGTGAGGAGTCTCTACTCTGCACCCCTAACATACCTCAACACTGCAGTGGATAGAGTGGGTTTGTGGTGGCAGAACACTGTCCTTTGCCCTCACTGTTTCTTGAGGATAAAGATTGTCTTGTGTATGTGTATGTTTATGCGTATACACATAGATAACACCAGGCAGTGTTGCTATCACCTTCCAACAATGAAGCAGAAAATGGAAACATTTATGGAAAGTTTTCTGGTTACTGCTCTTAGATTTTGCACACATTCCAGGAGGAAAGGAAGAAAAACAAGCTTGTAATGTTTAATGACGTGAATAATGCAAGGTTAGATTAGAGCAGTATATAATTTATACTTTTTGGAACCATTATTATTTTGTGTGTGTGTGTGTTAGCAGCAGAATCAGTCAATCAGTCTTTGCATCAGTTAAATTTCCGAATGTGCAAGTTCAAGGACCATCATCAGAATTTTTATTAACTGTGCCACCTTTGAATGCAGATTTCAAAGGTAGCGGATTGCCAGGATTAAACAGAAACATACAGGCAGTACTCAGTGAACACATGCTTGAAGTCATAATAGTATTTTTACTATCTTTATGGATTTCATTCTGTGAAAACTCTAAGTAATCTTTCACATCTAAGGCTATGATAAGACTAGAATAGCACTTGCTTTAAAGTATCAGTTTGTCCACTTAGACATTTTGTGTGAATTATGCTCTCCTACTTATAAAAGGAAGCACTTCAATAACTTTGGAGCATGCAGTCATCTCTTCACAGATGAACTGTCAGTGCAATGTAGCACCTGAATTCTAATCTGTTTTGCATTTCACCTGAGGCATTGGATAGTTCAGTCTCTCTCTAACACTATGTTCTCTTTCATTGAGACTGCAAACACAATACCTAAAGCAGAGCTTTGTATGAGGGCTGTGGCCACTCCTGGCTGAAATAACCACAAGCATCTTCTCCACACCTAACATGACTTCTGAACTGGTAACACAATTAAACAAGCAAGATGATTCATTAATGGGAGGTTGATAGGATCACAGAATGGCTGAACCTGGCAGGGCCCTCTGTGTCCATTTGGCCAGTCTCTGTTCCAGCAGGGCCACCCGGAGCAGGGTGCCCAGTGCCATGTCCAGGTGGCTGCTGGAGATCCCCAAGGAGGAGACCCCACATCCTCTGGGCAGCCTGTGCCACTGCTCTGTAACCCACACAGCACAGGATGCTTCTGGTATTCAGAGGCATCCTCCTGTGTCCCAGTGTTTGCCCAGTGCCTCTTGTACTGGCCCTGGGTACCACATAGAAGTGCTTGCCTCTTTGCACCTTCCTTCAGGTATTTATAGACATTGATGAGGTCTCTCCTGAGATTCCTCTCCTCCAGCTGAACAGCCCCAACTCTCTTAGCCATTTCTCATAAGAGAGATACTTCAGTTCCCCGATAATTTCTGTGGCCTTATTCTGGACTGATCACAGTCCAGCAATAGCAAAAGTCATTTTGTGTTTCCTTGCAGCTCTTGTGACCATTGCATCTAGGCCTCTCCAGAAGTAATGAGATCTGTATATTCGCTGCATGTCTAGAAAATTTCTTTGGGACTTTCTGGTGGTGAGGGCCTGCAATTATGAATTGGATGAATTTATGTTCATCTAAATAATGTTTATTTTAATAGGAAATGCCCCTGGAAAAGCCAGGTCTTGGAAACTGCTCTAAATGTCTCAATTATTTCATCTCTCTCAGAAGCCTGCCCCAAAGTTAAACCCCCTTTGTCATTCTTGGTTCTCTTCAACTGTTTCTTAAGCTTTTGGATTTATATATTAGCAAAAGACTTACTAAATATGTTAAGCTGCAATATGGCCAGATATAGCTTAATCTCCGTATCTTACTTAATTATCTGCAGCGCCAGGATGAAGACTGGACAGAGTCTTTTGTAAACAATTGTGCACCAGATAAAGCTTTCTTCCCTAATGTAGGGGGTGACATGGTTGCTGGAGAGGTCGTATGTTTCTCTGGTCTGTGTTCCAAATGGCAGAAATTATCCTTTATTTTATGTTTTTATGTAGTATGCATGCACAAAGTTATATAGAATCATAGAATGGATTGGGTTGGAATATATTTTAGTTTTAATCTTCCATTATGAAGTTAGGTTTGTAAAATGTAAACATCTAAATGTGAATTATTTATCTATTGCTCATCTGGCATTTGGAGAAAATTTCAATGACTGTTTTTGACATCACTTCTAGGATGAGGTAAATTTCACTCATGCAGTCAACCATGACTACAAGGGAGTAGCTACTATGACTAGTTCAAACTTTGTGAAAACCTCAAGCTAAGAGAAAACCATTCCTACATAACATTGAACTAGTTAGATGTGTGTGTAGCAAATTATTCTGTAGAACCGTAGTGAATCATTGTACTACAGACTTACAGTTCTTTTTTTCCCCTCTCCAAAGATACCACTTCAATTTTTCCAAATTGTTCAGCTCAAGGTCAAGAACCACTTGCTTTACAGAGAAGACACCACTGCTGAAGGTTTCCTCAGAGGAAAATGGGTGAGTTACTTTCATTTTACTCAAAATACATTTTTTCTAAGCTCTCTTCTATTTAACTGTGCATGGTTCTTTCTTATATTCTGACATCAAACCTAATGGGAAATAAAGTGGATGTCAGAAGTTGTGAGCAGAGAATTACTCTGAAGTAGTTTGAGTGGAAAGAAGGGGCTATAAATGAGATAGGGAATGATGTAAGGTCGCAGGTCAGGTTGATTAGAGATACCTTGGGATAAGCAACTGCAGGTTGCTCTCATTTTCTTCGTATTGTGTTGCATTAGGTGCATTTCAAGACACAGCAGAGCTATAAGATGGATTCTTATTCTTGTGGATTACACATCAAATTCAGAGGCATGTATGTCTGGTGCTTCAAAATGCTCGTTCTTTCAGGTGCACCTAAACATCATAAGGCTTTTGCTTCTCTGTCTATCTAGTTGTGCCATCAAGAGGAGCTCAGTCTCTACTGAATAAATATCTTTATATGATTTTTTTCCATTAAAATCTATTACAGAGAAGCTAAGCATATGTAAGATCAGTTGCATCTCATATCTGTTGAAATAAACTACTGTTTTATTTTCTCTTTACTGAAAATATGTGACAGGTTGCCATGCATGGGTCTTCATAACCCAGGTTTTACCACAGATGATGATTCATGGGACAACAGCTCTGCTGAATTTGAACAGAGATTTCATCTGGGAAGTGAAATGACCAGTTTGTCTAGATCTGCTTCCTCTGAGAAATATGAAATCTTGGATAACCTTCATGTCAAGTTCAATTTATCAAAGATGAGGTCTGAATTCAAACATTATTTTATTTACTTTTTAAAGTTTCAGCAGTTTCAAAGTATAGATGGCTAGAAAATGATATATTTTCTGCAAATGAATAATATAACGCTCCATATTTAGGGTATATTTTACCATTGATAGCTTATAAATAAATCCTGATGAAACTGATTACAGCCTCTATCCAATGATCAATAGCTCTTTGCTCTTAGAAGCATTAATCAAGATATCTATTTTAAATCTGAATTTAAATAATGTTTCTATTGCTTTCAACATTTTGAAAGCCTCTTGGCTTTTTCACAGTTTTGTTTTTCAGTTTTCGGTTTCTTTGAAGAAATATTTAATATGAAATGTATATCTCTCTTTTTATAGAAAGATAGATGCATAGTCTTCTACTTACCTAATAGTATTTCTGGAATCATCATAGTAGCTTTCCATGAATATGCAATGCAAAATATAAGAACTTTTTTGTCTTTAAGTACATTAATATATTTCACTCTTTATCTCAAAGTAGTCTTTCGCCTCATTTAGGCAGGGATGAAGTTGAAATATTTTAATGTACTGAAAAATATCAATATAGTAAGAGCTTAAATTCAAATGTTCTCAGGATATTTTCACCTGAATAATAGCTAGCAAAGCCTTTAGTCTCAGGTACAAACTCTCTCTGCCACTTCTAGATTTTCAACGTTTCTTCTTGTTCTGGTTTGAATTGCTAATAACTCTGCAGTTTGCATGGAGCCCGAGCATTTCATGCCCCTATCTACATGTTGATCCATGGAGCCTTTTCTGACAAGAAGTCTATGACTCTTTTCGCAGTCTGTATGTTGTCTTAGCTCATCATTTCACAATTGTCTTCCTTCTTTCATTGTGCATATGGTATTGTGTGGAGTGCCACGCTCCTGTACGCTGCTGAACAAATGGAGCAGGAGAATTTCAATGGCTGCAATTAGTGCAATATGAACAGATGTGAAGAAATTTGGCAGACGTCTTTCTTCATGCTCTCTGTAGCTTTCCTTGTATTTGATGGAACAAAAGCATTGAGCAGGAGAGTAGAATCAATTGTTTCCAGTATAGTATACGTTTATGGGGGTAGTGTATTTCTCTGGCAGAACTTTCTGTGAAATGTTTTCATTGCTATAGTGCTGGTTGTACATCTGGGGCCAGCTCCTTAGATGTTGCAAATCAGCATAACTCCACAGAGATAATAAATGGAGCTAAACTGCCTGATGTGCAGATCAGACTAAAATTCATTTGGTTTAAAACAAGGAGTGCAGTCCTTCATAGATTTATATTTCATGCATTTTCAACTAAAGTCAGGTAGGATTGTGCTGGAGGCATGTATCAGTAGAGAGTTTGGCACAGAGTTTGTACTTGCATCGCTGTGCCAGATTAGTGCAGCAGAAAGAGACAGATTGGAAAACACAGACGAGTCAAAGACTCATCACTTCTCAAATATAAGATGTTAAAAGTGCTGCTTCCTTAATACAAAATGCCATGAAAACAAACAGAAGGGAGGAAAAGAGGCTTCTAAATTCTATGTTTAATAAAATAACCACTTCCAAAAGCTGTTTTTTATCACATCTTGTCAACTCCTTGAGATGAGTTTCTGTTATTCACAGACAAATGGTTATGAATTTATAAGTTTTAATTAATGCTTCTTGTTTTCTCCTTTATGTTAAAAATGAATTATTGCTGTTTCTTTTTTCAATAGCAATTTGAATTATTATTATTTGAAATGATAATTTGGAAGTGCAAACAGAAAATGTTGAACACATTAAAACTAAACCAGTGTGGACTGGGCTTTAGTAATTAATAACATAACAAGCCCTCAAAAATACTGAAACAACTGTGATGTGAAGATAGGGAGAGTAGATAGATAGGATAGATGATGCATGACTAAGATGGCAATGTTTTCCATAAATCATACAGTAATGAAAGAAGTTATCAGCTGTGGGGTGCTGATAATGGCTTTTGTTGTCATTCCTCTTTTTTAAAACTTTATTATCCTCTCTCCCACCTCAACTTGATTTCCAGTAGAGAAGGACTAACTGGTGCTTCTGGAAGCTGCCTCGCTGACTTTTTATCATCCCCAACCTTCCATAGATGTTTATCCCAGTGCAAAGTTTGCATATAATTGCTACCACTTGCATCTCCTAGGGTGTTGTAGCCCCTCTGTTGCAGTTTGACTGTGGCATGGTCTTTTCATCAGATACTGTAATTTTCTGCTGTTTTTTTTTTTTTTTTTTTTGAGAAGTCTGGTGAGGAAGGGATGTTGTTTTTTTCTCAGTGAACTTGATTTAGGGACTTACTTCCACTGTGACTAAAAGTTATTTCTGACTGTCTTCAGATTACTTCACTTTAATATTTTGTTCTAAAGCATCTGTCAATTGAGTTATTTATTGCACTGCTTCTTTCTCAACTAATTATCCCAGTAACGTGAAATATTTTTCTTCTTGCTTGTCATCAGGCTTAAATCAAACCTTGCATTTGTCATTCTCTCAGAAAAGCAATGTTTGAATGTTTACTTTTGGAAAAAATGGGGTAAGAACATCAATGTCTTCAATTAGTGAAGAGGTGAGATAAGGGCAAATAAGCAAAAAGAGTTCTGTAAATTAAGACATCTGTGCAACATTTTGATGGGCAACAAGAAAGTAATTAAAGAATTGCCTTTTATGGTAAGATTTAAAAAAAAACGTGGTGATTAAAAAATGATAAATCTTAAGATTTCTTACTAGAAAACATAAAGTTTCAATATTTCAGTTTAGAATTGTTCTTGTTTAGGCCACTCAACAGTAAGCGCTGACATTTTGGAAGATCTGATGGCATTGTATCTCCAGAACTGGCCGTTTCCTGGCACATGTGTACTATGGAAAAAAAAAATCTAGATTTGCTAGAACATTCTAGAGTTGCTCACACAGTATACTTGATTTGAAGAGACAATATTTAAGACCAGGATATCCTTAAAGACTGTTCTTGTCTTCAAAGTGAATGTCAGGATGCCTACTAGAAGACTGGTTTAAGCAGTTTATTCACGAAAGTACCCCAAGGTAAGGGCTGTGCTCCTTTGAAGCCCAAGAAGAGGTCAAAGAGTGGCGAAGGATCTGTTGGGAGCCAACCAAGGGAGATTGCTCCAAGTGTCAACACTAGCTCATTCTGTAGCCTTTGTTCAGCTTTTCTAAGGGACATAAACTCCCTCTCATTCAATGAGAGAAGGCTGGCAGCGAAGTGAGGACAGAGTCCTTATAGTCAACAAGGCTTCCCATGCCCTTGTGTAGCGTGATGTTGTCCATGCTCTGACATGGTATGTTATTATTCTTAAGTTCTCAATATCTGAAATGGTAGAACTATTAAAAATATAGAAAAGGTTTGTTTTAAAATAACTGTGTACTAAATGCATGTTTCTTACATTTCAGATGCTGTCTAAAATTCCTGAAAATTTCAGTCCTTTTTATCTTTGTGGTAGTCTGCTCTGTAAGTATTGAATTAGCTACCTTTTCCTCTTTCTCCTATTACATTTCTTACAATTAGTTGAAAATGATATTTGGTTTTAGGTGATAAAATAATGTCTCATGGATGGGAACAAGATGGTAAAAACTAGAAATAGTGTTCTGGTCCTTATGCCTAATTAGACAACTGCTCAGTGCACTGCCCTCTACCCTGGACAATGTAGCAGAGAATTTAGTTTTAGGAGAGTGTTGGAATTTTTATGTCATCAATCCTGCATTTAGGATGGCTCTTCAGATACTACTTAAAGCCTGGGAAGTATTGGTATGTTTTCCCCCTTGGCAAAGTGTGTATCTCCTCATGTACAGCCTTTTGAGCAGCAGTTCTCTTGTGGAAGATACTAAAATGTAAACATTTTTTGAGGCACTCTGCTTCCTGTGTGGCTGCTGAAAATGGGCAGTTGGGAGCAGTTCCCACTAGTGAGTATTTACAGTAACTGAGAGTAGGCAGGTCTTCCCCAAAACTGAGGACTGAAAGGAAACTCTAGAAAAAAGACAAGGGAAGAGCTGTGATTTCTAGGAAGATGATAGACCCAGAGTGTCTTTGAAAAATCTTTCTTTCTGTTTTGTCGCACTCTTCATTCTCTTTTACTACTCTATGGTACTTTTTTCTTCCTTTGTTGACCTTGTCTTTCTCTGAAAATTATTCTGTCTGTCCTCTTCTTTTGCTGAAGACTCCAGGCAAGCTTTTTGTTTTCCTGTCCTGTCATTCTCAGTCCTCTTTCCTTCTGCCCTTCCCACCAGAGCTGCTCTTGCTCTTCATTGTACCTCTCTAACCATATAAGTTCATCATCATTTTTCTTAAATTCACCTAACCATGGTGTCTGTAGAAACACTGGGATAAAATATATTGAAAATGTGGCCTGTCGTAAGTTCACTGAGGGAAAATTACTTGTCCTTGACATGTGTACCTGGGCTGCTTTTCAGCTTTGGGGGAAACTTACCTGAAATATTGAAAGCAATCTTAAGATTTAATGTATTGTTTGAAAGTCTTTAAGTTTCTGATATAAGCTTAAGATATATTTTTTCCCTAGATTTTGTTTGGCATTTACCCAGATCAACACGTGTCCTGGCAGATGTTGGCTGTCTCGCCTCTGGAAAGCTTCTGTATCCTTCCTACACCGAAGAAAACTTAAGCTTTGTTAATGAAATGGTTGAACTACTGTTTTCTCTCTTATACTCAGAGTGGATTTATTCTCCTCAGAGCATGTGCTGCCCTTAGATTTGTTCTTTGATGCAAATTGCAGTTGTGCATCACATCCAAGCCGGCCGTGATGAATAGTGCCTCTCTGTGGTGCTTTGTGGTTCCCATCCAGTTCTTACGTTGAGATTCTGCATGAAACCTGAAGTTTGAAATCCTGGTGGGATCAGCTTCTAGAAAATAGCCATGACTGTGACCAGTACAGTCCAATGGCTGCAGCAACTACTCCCCAGGCCAGTGGCTTTCTATCATCTGTAGCATGTTTTAAGGATCATGATGCATGATTCATTGCAGGTGAATGCAAACCTGTGTTTGAAAGGCCTTTGAGGGATGAGCATGATGAACATTCAGTTAGTAAGCAATCAAAAACTTTTGCTAATAAACTACCTTTCTTGTTTCCAATATATTTCTAATTTTATCAGTTTGATCTGCAATTTCTTTTACTAATATTGGAAGATGATTCACTATGGATATATTTTATGAGCATCTAGGGAGCATCATCTTTTGAAAAGGTGCAGTAAGAGTTAATTCTTGAAAGATTCATTTTTTCTATTTAATTAGACAGGTCCATAGCTTTAAGGAGGCAGAGTCCATTCTAAACAGATTTGTTAGCGTTCTCACTATTGCAAATAATGGCACAATGTTACACAGTTATTAGTAGGGTAGATGAGGAAGAAAAGGTTAGTGCTTGGGGGCAATTTATAGTGAGAAGCAGGGACTGCTTTTTGGAAGAGAGCAAGAGAGCATTAGCAGGACAAATGAAACCTCAACAGTTAGCTCCCATCGCACCAGGGCTGTAATAGCTCAGTTTGCTGAATCAGGGTGTATTGGCATCAAGTCTTTGAGATCAAGTTCTAGTCAACTATCATAGCATAACTTAAGGACTGGATCTCTTTCCACAGATTTTGCACTGGAACCACAGTTACTGCTCTGTGAGCATTGATTCTGCAACTGGTTATTCTTTTTTCTTGTTTCAGGGAGTGCTGTTCGGACTGGGATAATGATTACAATCAAGTATTTCTTTATTTCATGTTTTACACGTAATATCAAGATGCTTTAGCCAAATAGCTGTCAGACAGAATATAGCATTCTCTATCTGACAAACCTGGAGGTGAAGTTTCTTTGTGTCATATATGTTGAACGCTAGACATTCTGTTCTTGCATTCCTACTCACTGAGCTGGGAGTAAGCAATCCAGAAAAGTCTTGTTTCGTTTTCAAGGTGACAGAATAATTCAAGCAGAAGGGTCATTGAGAGAAATTTGTTTCTAAGTGAGATTTGGAAAAGGTGTGAACAATTCTGAATGTCATCTCACCATTGCTACTAGTCTTTGGTCATGCAGACATAAGCTCATGTGTTTGTGTCGCTTTGTTACATGGTAAAAAATCTTTTGGCTAGGTTTGGATAACACTAACCATTTAGAAAGCAGTGTCGAAGATGTGATTTATGCTGGCTGAAGATTGCAGTATTCTCAATGGACGTTAAGAGGTAGTCTGAATGTCTACAAGAATTTCATGGTAGGCAGACAGGTGTGCTGTGATAGCTCTTGTCACCAAGCCCATAGAGGTTGTGTATGAGACTATGGGTGGAAGTGTCTTAGCTCATGTGATACTAAATTATGCTAACGATATGCTCTTTCCTCCTTGCTCATGTGTCAAAAGCAGTTGAAATGTGTTTAATAGGTACTAAGTATCATTTACTCGTTTTATTTTTTTTTTAAATCCTTCATCTCATTTCTATGCTTTTCCAGAAAAGCTCATGTATTTTGAATTGTGTATTGAGTATATACACTCTTATGAATACATATGCATACACTAGAAAAATCTGAAAAATAATAAACTAAAGGTGGAAATTTAAATAATTAAAAAATCAAATGGAGTCACTAGACTTCATCATTCTGGTGTTGCTTAGATATTTGTGTATTTTTTTTTCTCTCATGCACACAAGGTGTCAGACTTGTTTGGAGCTGTGACTTTCTGTCTCTGGCTGCTGCTTCTAATATAGTGTGTCTTTAGCACTTTTCCATTTTCTCTAGCTCCTGTTTGATGTTTCCATACCTTTGTTTATTGCTTGCATTTACTTTGGTTGATTTTTCCCCACTAACTTCTGTGTACATTTTAGTATCTCATGTATATCTCCCTTTGCTTTATCTATCCCCATGGATTCTAAGCAGACTGTAGTGCTGAACTGTGCTGGCTGTAGTTTCTGAAAATTGAAGCTTTCCTCCTGTGATTAGTAGACTCTTTCTGTGTATGTAAGATGTTTTTTAACTCTAATTTGCCTATTGGTGCAAGACCCAAATTAAGTGGATTTAGTATGATTTTTTCAAAGTAGTGGTAATATTGTTCCTTTTTGACAAGACAGGATTTATTTACTTTTAAATTCTAACAATCAACTCTTTAATACCTGACAGAAATAAGTTTATGATAAGGCGAACTTAAAGGATGCCTTTCTGTAGGAAGCAATATTCATTGCCCTTGTTAGTGTAAATCTGTGAAGCATTTTCAGACCTTTGGCTGAAAGGCCTTATGTTAAATGGGAAGCATCAATAAGTAAAGGGATGATACGCCTTTGGAAAGTGGGCTATAAAAATAGAAGAAGAGATATGGAGTCTGAAATATTACAGCATTTCCTATGTTCTGCCATGTACCTATCCTAAGACATGAACATATTTATTTTCTGTAAGTCCTAAGCCATTCAAACTTTCAAGTAACTACAGTCAGTTAGCTGGTGAATTACAGAAAGAATAATAAATATTCATTGTGCTTATTCATTAAACACAGAAGTTTTCAGTCTTGAAGAAAGTTCTGAAATATTTGATGGATCCTGTTTGTTCCTTCATTTCAAAAAATTTCTGTCGTGACCTAAGCAAAATTTTAATTGTTTCTTAAGCTACAGGGAACAGACAGCTGGAACAGAAATCTGCAGTAACCTTTGGAATCGAACTAGGCTTTATGAAATTCAGAAATAATGGGGATTTGTGGACTCTATTGAGGAATTACACAATCAAACTTTCCATTCATTCATTATCATTTAAAGAAGGGTCTGTCTCCCTAGTAGAGTACCTTCTTTTCTTTCCCTGCCCCTGATACATTTGTTGCTATTTCTATATTTCAATAGTAGAAATATAGTTTTTTTAAAAGAGAAGGTAAATCTTCTTCTAGTACAGTCCTGGGTCAATGGGTCTCACATCATCTCTGTCCCTGACAGGTTTTTCAGCAAGTCTTGTTTGTTTCCCTCTCAAGAGCCACAGTACTTATGCCAGTTACTGCTATACATGAGGGAAAGTTAGGGCAGTCTAGATGCAGCAATTTTGTTTTCCTTTTTCAGATTGCTTGTCAGAATGTACTTCTTGTGGTCCTGAAACCTAATAATAACTAGGGAGTGGAATTTGATTTTTTTCTGTGTCTGGTCAAGAATTCTACAATTTTAAAATATATTTTAAATCCTGTCAGCCCTGATCTGATTGCTTCCTTTATATGTTTGATATCTCCTCATTTTAATTCTTTGGAGTGAGGACTGACATTTTGCAAGTTATTTATATTTGCACAGCACCTGCTGTAAAGAGTTCCTTACTCACTTGCTCTCTGAGTACTATCGCCACAAGACAGAACTTAGGGAAAATACATCATCTAATGTCACGACTGAACCCTAAAAAAACAGAGTCAAATTGACTAACTAGTGGCCATTTTCACTGGTTTATCTCTCTCCTTGGTAGCTCTGGGAGATTTCATTATGCCCTAGCCAAGCTTAAAATATCAGACTCAGAAAACAAAAAATATATCTTAGCAGTAATAAAATATTGAAATTTACATAATAGGCTAGATTTCTTATTTTAGTTGGATTCAGAGAAACTATTTGGAAAAAAAATAAGTATGAAGGTTGATAGGGGAGACATTAGACAGAGAAAACAAGATATGCTGACCTTATTATCAAATTCCTTGCTGAGGTAGAATGAGTTTGAATGATGGGTGCAAATGTGTTAATCATAGAGCAAGAAAAGGTCACTAGAAAAACTTGTAATCATGCCATGACCATTGGTGACACTGAAAATCACCTTTTCTGCTCCCTGAGACAGAGATATTTATAGAAAGAAAGACTATGAGGAAAAGAATGCACTTGGGGTATTGAGAGCTTTTCAGCTTCCAAGAAGAACTTAAAAAATGGGTTCTTCTCCCAGGCAGTATAAAGTAACTAACTGAATGAAAAAAAACAAAACAAACAAAAAAACACAACCAAAACAAAACACCACCACCAACAGAACAAACAAATAAACTCCTCAGATGTTGCTTTAGCCCTCTGCTGTCAGACAATCTTCAGTCATTTTTTGCTTGAAGAAGACATTTAAAAATTATTTGTTGCTGGAAATGAACTAAGCATTTTGGTCTGCAGGCAGTATTCAAGCTTCTAAGAGGATGGATGAAGACTAGACCGTATTCATTGGCAGGCAAAAAAGCAGAATATCAAGGCATATTTGAGAAAACTAATGAAACTTCTGAAACCGATAGAGCACAGAGAGAAAGGGTGGAACCAAAGTAGAGAAAAATGGAACCAAACTCTCCAAAAAGGGAAAAGAGGAGGAGGAATTACAGTGAATTATTCAAATGGGGAAACCAAGAGTTATAGAAGAGCGTGAATTTCCGCTTTGTATACTTTGAAGAGGTGATCAAAAGACAAAATTGCAGAGAGATGTAGAATTTCTAAGAATTCTAAGAACATTCTTAGAATGTTCTTAACCCTGGTTAAGAACAATATATAAAAATAGATTCTAAAGCCCAGGATGAAAAAAAAATGTCTTTTAAAAATGAGAAAAACATAAGAAACCAGCATGAGCAGCCTGGTCATATATCAGGATCATTAGTATATATGCACGTTGGAAGCTCAATGAAAGAAAATCATTACATGTAATAATCTCAAGGTACATTTTACAGGAAGCAGAGTACATGATATAACTAGATGTTAAAGAAGGCATAAAGTCAGCGTGCGAATAGAGAGTCTCTGTCAATCGTGGCTTTTCAGATGGTTCTGTACATAATGCATAAATGCCTGGATGGAGAGTAAAGCACGGATGAAGTACTTAGGGTGTGACTCATCCCTTCTACCTGAGTTAGTCATTCCAGGCTCTATTTATATAGTTCATAGACAGTTGGTGCTTCTAATATGATGGTGCAAAATGAGACAATGAATTCCATCTCCCCTTTTTCAATGATTTAAAACAAATTAAAGCAAACAACTCAAAAGCAGATGTCCATGTGACGGAAACAGAAGCTGGTAGATAAATAACAATATAAATTGTTATAAATTAAACAATATAAGTTTAGCCACTGTATCCTGTTCCATCTTGTGGTTTGTGTAAGCTAAAAAAAAGTGAAATGATATGAGGTCACTCTTGTGTGTTCTGAAATACCTTCTAGGAGCAGAAAATACAGCTCATGGTTTAGTGCTGAGCGATGGACCTAGTCTGGTGCCAGATGTAATTACATAGAGCCACTCTGTAGTGGTGCACAAAGCATATGCAACCCCAAATCCCTTGACAGGATAATTCACAACAGTAATATAATTTCAAGAATGGAACTACATAAAAATGAGGCAGCTTAGCCAAAGTGGAATAAAAATAACAGCTCCAGCTTTAAATCTTGTCTGGGAGATTTCTTGCTTTAAAGGCACATACTGAAATCTGTGTTTCATAAATGTTCAGAAAAGAGAAAAAAGAAAACATGTATCACGATTAAATTGCAGAGTTAAACAGAATATTGGAAATAAAAAGACAGTTTCTAAAAGTTGAAGTCATATATGAATGGTCAAAATGGAAAAGAGACCACATTCTTGTAATTTAAGGGAAATATAAAGCCAAGGTAAGGCACGACAGAAGTGTGCTGTGGAGCAGACTGAGAAAAATGGCTGGTAAAAAACCCACCTTTTGGTTTATCTAGGTGTAGCTGAAGTTTTTTTCCTGATTTAGCCTGAGTCTACCTTTCATAAAGGCTGCAATCTGCTGCTGTGTAACAATGGAATTATGACAGTTGCCAAATAGAGTTTGGAGAAAGATAACTGTTGGAACTTCAGCAGACCAGAGAATGATGTTCAGTGCCACCTGCACTCAAAGGAGAATGTTTTTATGCTAGGAATCTTTCTGATGGTTTTATAAATGTTTTGAAGAGAATGGAAAAATGTTCTTAAGTATGCCCCTATTTAGAGGAAAATAAGGTAAGAACCACTCTTCTTGAAAATAAGGTTTCATTTTTCCCCATTTAATTTTAAACATCCGGTATAATAGCTTCTGAATGTGACATCTGAGTAATTGTAAGATATATTTTAAAAGTATTTCTTAAAAGGAAGCCTCCTTAACTATATGCACCTGAAGCTTTTTGAGACATAAATTACTGGCTACATTTCTGATAAAAAGCAGACAGTCAAAAAGTGTCCCAAATCATTGGGCTAATAACTAGGTCAGCAGGCTTATAGAAGGTATAATTTATGTCTCAAGTTAGAGATATACACATAGTTCCAGTGGAGAGTAATATTATGTATTAGGACACCAAAAAACTATGATGCCATGTCACAAGTGGAGTTTGTCTCCTGATTCATTACTTCTGGAGTTAATTTTTATGGTTTCCTATGAAATTTCTTTAAGCAAATAGATGCTTGTGTTTGTTCATGTATGTTCATTTTTAATGAACAATGTGTCAATGGTGATGCTGATGGCTTGCCAAGCTAAACAGGGAGACATTTATATTATTTTGCAAAGTACTGGCTCCTCACCTGCCACTAGATGATAGAATCACAGAATGGTTTGGTTTGGAACAGAACTTAAATCCCACCCAGCCCCAATCCCTGCTATGGGCAGGGCTGCTCCCCACCAACTCAGCCCCATCCAACCTGGCTTTGAGTGCCTCCAGGGATGGGGCACCACAGCTTCTCTGGGCAGCTGTGCCAGTGCCTCACTGCCTCCGAGTGAGGAATTTTCTCTTTATACCTAATCTAAATGTCCCTTGTTTTATTTTAAAGCCATTCCCCTTGTCCTATCACTAAGCTTTCCTTTTTCCCCAAGCCCACAGGGATGATTCTTTCTCAAGCATGCCAAAAGTGGATTCCTAGCAATTCTGTGTTTAAACAGCCCTAGATGTTCTCAGACTAGTTGAGCCAAGCCTCTAATATGTTTGTCTCTCATGGTTGGCTAATTTCTTAATTATATTAGTCTAGGAATGTTGTTTGACCACATCTCATGCTGGATGCTCAAAAGAAAAAGAAAGAAAAGATAGAAAAGGAGCTGAAGGAGAAAAAGACAATTAGCATTCTCAGAGGAGCTTGATTATGTATTTCTAGATGTTAGAAAACTTATGAATTAAATTTTGACCAGAAACCCAAATTCTACACCACAAATGGAGAATTGATTCTGATTTAATTTTCCACATGGTTACAGCTTGCACAGTGTTTTCCCCAGTATAATTTCAGGTATGTTTAAATGGCCCAGTTAATGATGCAGACTTTCTTCTATACAAGCACTTAAAGAGCCTTACTTCACAAGCTCTCTCAAAGACCAATCTCAAGATTTGCAAGGAAAGGACAGAAGGATTTGTTGTGATTCTTTAAGTTCTTTTTCCTTAGGAAACCAGGCCAAAACTGTGCTACTTGGTGAAGAGGTAAACATCTGTTTTCTTCCTTTCATAGTTCCTTATGTATTTTAGGATTTTAGGTGAGTAATATGTTTTCAATATAAACTGACTCATCTTTTTTTTTTTTTTTAATTGGAATATCTTCAACTCACTTTTACTGGAAACTTACACCTTAACAAGTTTATTGACAGCTATGAATTTGACAGACTTTCGTGACTCTGCTCTGTTGAAGTTAGACATAGGAGGCCCATTTGCAGCAGATGTAGCTGACGAACAAACACAAGAATACATTTTAGTACAAGTCAGCCAGACTGAAGAAACTGGATCAAGGAGGAGACGCCAACAGCAGGTGATGGTCTTTGTATTCTCTTTCACTTTTTCTGAGTTGCGTTAAATCTTTTGTTTTTCATCACTGTGTTTGAGTTGGTTGTGTTTTTCCCTGTGGTAAAATTGGTGTCAACATCAGCATTAGAAAAATAATTAGAACAGCAAAGTTACATTTTCCTCTGTCATTGTGAGATTTCCTCTAGCTTTCAATACTCATCAAAAATCTGTAAAACATGCGTCCCTTTAAAGTTCACACATTAAAAATTGGCAACATTTCAAGAATTGTCTTAGAAAGATGAAACAAGTGCAAAGTGCCTTTTCACACTCACTGGAATATATTTTCACATTTTGTTGAAATTATTTTCTCACACACGCCATCACCTGTATTGTCTTTAATTCTCTTCAGGCTTTGACATTGTTTATAACAATGTCGTGCTGCTCCCTTCTTGAGAACTCAGTGAAGGAGGATCTTTTATGATGTGCCATTGTGTATCACTGAACAATGGAGAACAGCTTCATCATTTAATAAATAGCATTGGCATATAAACAGCAGCCTCTCATTCCATATGAGGTGAATGTCCTGTCTCTACCAGTGACAACTTAGCCTGTAATGTTGACAGTTTTCCCATGTACAGCCAATCTCACAGTCTACATCAGAAGATTAGTTCCACTACCTCAGTGTGCTGAACAAAACTGCAATGTCAGTTACTCTCTCAAAAGTACCAGGCCTGTGATGTGAGGTTAAGCCATGCTGCTGGCCGTGATCCCCAAGGATCCTCCACACTGCTGCAGAATATCACTTCCAGCTGGCACTGCAGGGATGGTCCTGGAGGATGGTCCCAGAATGAGAGGATGAGTTTGCACCAAATTGAGGGCTGCTAATATACCTAACGAAGTGTTATGAATATAGCCTGGTGCATGTGTTCTCCATAGTATGTTCTCCAAACTGTAAAGGAGATAGAATGAAGAGGTATGAATGATAAAATGAAAAGGCAAATGGTATCCTGGTCTCCATCAAAAGAGGGGCGGCCAGCAGGGACAGGGAGGTGATTGACCCCCTCTACTGTGCTCTTGTGAGGCCCCAACTGGAGTACTGTGCCAGGATATGGAGCCCCAGTACAAGAAAGACAGGGAGTTGTTGGAGACAGTCCAGAGGAGAGCCACAAAGATGTTCAGGGGACAGGCTGAGGGAGCTGGGCTTGTTCAGCCTGGAGAAAAGAAGGGTGTGGGGTGACCTCACTGCAGCCTTTCACTACCTAAAGGGAGCCTACAAACTGGAGGGGAATCAACTCTTTGAGAGGGTTGATAGCTGCAGGATGAGGGGAAATGGTTTTAAGTTGAGGGAGGGGAGATTCAGGTCGGACATCAGGGGGAAATTCTTTACCCAGAGTGGTGAGGTGCTGGAACAGGCTGCCCAGAGAGATTGTGGATGCCCCGTCCCTGGAGGTGTTCAAGGCCAGATTGAATGGGGCCCTGGGCAGCCTGGTCTAGTATTGAATGTGGAGGTTGGTGGCCCTGCATGTGGCAGGGAGTTTGGAGATTCATGATCCTTGAGTTCCCTTCCAACCCTGGCCATTCTGTGATTCTGTGATTCTGTATAAAACCTCAGAATAGAGACTTACCACTTTAACTGATGTTTATAATATTACCATATCTGACTCTTTTGCAGGTGGTATACAACTGGTCTTTACCCTTAAGTTCAAGAAGAAATCAGCAAATCATCACAACCAGAACCTTTCAGATACCAAACAGGTTGGCTAAGAGGCTGGGATATGAGCCATTGAAGTAGTAGTTTACACAGACTTGATGGTAAAATAATAAGATATCATTTTAGAAATAATATGTCACTCCCTGTTTCAAAAAGGTCAAGGAAGTGTGAACCCCCTTTACTTTTTAAATGAATTTCCAAAGTTGGGTTATTTTCCAAACAAAGATATTTGTAAGGATAGAGTGAAAATATTTGAGAAGCCTCTCACAATTGTAAAAAAGAAAACAAAACAAAACAGCACATAGATATATTTATAGATATTCGTTATAAAACAAATATTCATTTTCACTCAAGAAGAAAACAGAACTTCTCTTCTTTTTCCCAGAGGCACCATCTTCTTAAACATTCAAGCTCTCCTGCAGCAACCTGGAAGTGTTCCTCTCTCCATGAAACATCAATACCTTCATGCAAATATAGAGGCACAAGTAACAATTGCATCCATCATCTTATTAGGCGTCTATGTGCTGATCATACTGGAAGTAAGTCATGTTTTGTGTTGTAATTTTATTTTTGCCCTTCACTGCAAATGGAACATGAGGAAGAGTTTTGTTCTTGGCATTTAACATACTTCTAAAATCTGTATCTGAATCTCTGCTGTATCTTTATTGTTGTTAATGAAATAAATAAGATATGTGTGAGGAAATTGTTCTGAATTATAGCCAATTCTGGCTTATACAAAAGTTATACAAACAATGCAGTGGTTCTTGCATATTCTTTTGTTAGTGTCTCTTTGTGTTTTAATACTTTTTAAAGGATTATAATTTGGCTGTGAGAGTAAAAATAATTTTGGTTCATAAGAAGTGTGGAAAATCCTTGGTTAAAAACCAATTAACTTAAAAACAGGTTATTCTTTTTTCTAAGGGAACCTCAAACAATAATTTGGTGTGCTTTTAAAAGGTTAAACTGAGCACACTTTTTAGTATGAGTGACATTTAGAAATGCTTTTACTGTGCCACTTAGAGAGGAACTAGAATCTGAATTAACATGAGGAAGTCAAAGGATGCAGGAACTTTAAACATTTAACTTCATTTGAAAGTCTTGAGCTACCAAATTCAAAGAAAATGCTTTAAATCAGCACCAAGGATGAAAAATACGTCAGAAATAACTCAAGCTCCGACAGATATCTTTGAACTGAAAACACCTACTTTCTGAGTATCTTGAAATAAAGTACAGGTGCAGGAGCCTACATTTTATTCCCCCCTTTTTATTAGTTCATGTGAGTGTTAACAATCTCGATGAATTTTCAAGTTGAATCACACCAGATTTCTACTTGTATGAAACACGTATCATGTCTATAAGGCATTTAGTAATGTCTAGCATGCTTACCATATCTTTTCTGTAGCTTAAATTTTTCATCGTTTTACCTGCTAAAATGATAAGAAAGATAGGTGAACAGCTTCTTATCAAATATTAATGGCACATACAATATGACAGATACTTTAGACATTTAGATTTGGTCATTCAGGAATAGTGATTTATTTCTATGCATTTTATACATGAAAAAGGAGATTTAATATTTAGAGAGGGACTTGGGCTAGATATTGATATAAATATATGAAAGCATGCAATGCAACATCAAAACAATTGTAATGCTTTTTAATGCAGCTTTTAGTTTTGAAAAAGCTATGTAATCCTATAGCAATTGCAAAATATTGTTTTTTAAATATATGTAGTACCTGAGGTTACATGTTTTCATTGTAAAAAACCACTTTGGAACAATTCTTGGGTCAAAGGAAATGAAGGTTTGAAACTCAAGAGCAAAGCCAAGGAAAACATTAATTTTCCTGTTGTTAATAAGAAAAAGCTCTAAAACCGCTAGTTTTTTTTATTGTTTCTGTGAAATGATCAAGGAAAAATTTCTGTTCTTGGCAGAAAAATTATTTCATCACTTTCAAAGACAGAAATAGATCTTTACCTGTAAATTTTGAATTAAAGATGTGGGAATTCACCTATTGAATCATGGTTTTAGCTTTCTCCAGAGTAGCTGTAGAAATGACAAATGCTACAACTAGAGTAAATTTTAAACTATAAATATATAAGCTAGCAATAACTGAGATAGAAATAGAACTTCACTGTTTTTCAGTTCCCCCATGGATCTCTTCCAAGAGATGGATGTTAATATTTTTAGTATATGTAACACTGGCTTACCTCATATTTGCTATTTATAACTTTAGTGCCTGAATTTGTGCTTTCTCAACACATTGCACTCTATTCCATTAGCTGTTATCACTGTTAGAGAAATCAATTGGTGTTGCTGCAGAAGTGATGTCTCATGGATTTTCATTTTCTGTGCTGTTGCTCTCCTTCTTTTATCTGTCTTTATTGCAGTTTCCTGTGTTTTATTAATTGTCATTGCCAATATAGGTTCAACTTCAGGCAGTGTGTACACCCCAGTGCATTTTAGAACTATATTTTCACATATTTTCTTGTATCTGTGAAGAAATAGTTGGGATTTTATCTGTCACAATGCACAAGAGCTATCTGAAGGTTTGCATCTAGCTGCTTTTGCACAGCTCTTTTCCCAATACAGGAAATCACATCACATTCCTGAATTCAACAGTCCACATTCTTCCACATTCCTGAACTCCACAGTCTCCATCATTTTTGTTAGTCACCAGGGAATGTACAGCAGAACAGGCTGCAAGAGCTTTTGCCTCCCACAGACACAGATGATGGGAAGAACTCTGATGAAGGAGCATGCTATGATTGAAAGACGAACTTCATTTACTGTAAACTGTCATTTTCTCCAATCTTACACCAATTCAAAGACATAGGAAAATTCTGCTCTGAAGCAGTTGTTTTCATCTTTATCAGCACCAAATCTGTAGGACATACATCAAGTACCATTCCCTGTTCAGTAGAAAAGTCTCGATGTCTTCTGAAAAAAGACTGATAGAATCATAGAATGTCTTAGGTTGGAAGAGATCTTATATCTAATTCAGTTTCAACCTTCTGCCATGGGCAGGGCTGTTCCCCACCAGCTCAGCTGCCCAGGGCCCCATCCAACCTGGCCTTGAGCACCTTCAGGGATGGGGCACCACAGCTTCTCTGGGCAGCTGTGCCAGCACCTCACTGCCCTCTGAGTAAAGAATTTCTTCCTAACATCTAACCTGAATCTACTCTCTTTTAGTTTAAAGCCATTAATTTCCCCCTTGTCCTATCACTATCAGACCATAAGAAGTTGGTCCTTCCCTTGTGGTAAGGGCCAAATGAGGTCACTCCGGAGCTTTCTCCAGGCTGAACAAGCCCAACTCCCTCAACCTTTCTTCATAGGAAAAGTGCTCCAGGCTTCGGATTATCTCTGAGGCCTCTTCTAGACCCACTCCAACAGTTCCACATCCTTTCGGTACTAAGTCTTGTTACGCTGTGGAGCCTGGTTTCTTCATGCATTTATTTTTAGTGTTGCTTCTTTTAAAACTGTTTATATGTTATTTAATCATAAAAATTTGAAACACATTTCTGGCTAAGAAGATACTAATTTTGCCTCTCCAGTTTCTAATGGTTTCTTTTATATACTTGCCAGAAATGTGAATATTTTTGTACTTCACCATCCCACTCTACTACTTGATATTGCCTTTAACTCTGGATATCTCTTACTTACATTTTCTTAGTAAGACCTGTGTGTTCTCTTTTTTCTTTATTTTTCTTTTATTTTCCATATAATCATTCTTTCCTTCAGAAAGTGGACATTCATCCACTTGAAATTGGTTTTTCTTCATATATTGAACAGTTACATCATTGCATTTCAGTCTTCGCTGCCCTTCCCTTCTCCCAGAGGAGAAAGAAGAAAAATATATATTTCTCATGGTATTTCTGAAATAATCTAATCCATACCATTTTGTAGACTTTGTAGAAAACAATGCAGTATTTCATTTTATTCTTGGAAGCCAACACTGCACAGGAAATTAAAGCAAGGGTACATTAAATTAAAATAAAACAGCAACAACAAAACAAAATAATAAAAAGATAAAAAGGTGGTTCGTGTTTACCTGCTTTGATCTTGGCTCTGACCCTTCAGGGTTCCTGAGGAAGAAATGGATTGTAAGCATGCTTTCACCCAGGTCTATGGGGAAAGCTGGTGTAAAGTGCTGATGTCCAGAGTTTGATGTTGATGTTGCTGTACTAAATTAGTTCACAATGTATTTCAAGAAAGACTCTTTCTAGTTTTGATCCTCAAAACATGTAGACCTCTTTGATTGAGAATTTTTCAGAAAAAAAAAATTCTAACTAAAAATCTTAGGAAATTTACTTTTTGCCTTCTTATCTGAAAAAAAATGTTTGAAGCAAAAAAGCATATGCTCTCTATTACCTTCTTTGATCAAAATTAATTGTCCACCACAGCCCTTTTACATTTATATAAATTATTTCTTACACTCTATTTGCTCAGATTTGATAAGCAGTCATGTAGAATCTTTTTTTCCATTGATACAGCATAAACAAGTAAAAGTGAGATGGTTAAAAATCTCATTTTTTCCTATGCAATACAGTGAGATACCTTTGACTTCTCCCTTTTTATGCGTGGTAGAGTATACAGGTAGCGGGATAATATACTGATTACCTTTTAAAGAAATCTATCTGCCTATTCTTATATTAAAATATTTGTTAATGTTATAATGTTATATTAGTATTTAGACAAAAAATCTTGAGTCGATAAAGCTCTTATTTGTTATTAGTAATTGCATATTTGTAGTTATGTTGGAACTGCATTAATTAGGAATATGTGCGGAGGAATCCGTTTATTATTACAGCATAGAGATCACTAATTTGGATAAATTATTAATTGCATACTCTTGTTCAATATTTTCCATTAATAGTATAGTTCATGTTGAGGGCTAAAATGGAGTGTTAGCTGTTTGTGATATTTAAATAAACCAGAAAGTATGAAGGAAATGATCTTTAAAAAATGTTTTAGTGACTTTATTAAATAATGAAAAGTTACCACTATCATGGTATATGGAATGAAAGTGATACTTTCAGGAATTTGAAATTCTCCACTTGAGAGCCTCCACTGAAATTGTTTTATCACAAGAATTATCATTCATATTCCCTTATGTAGCTAACTCTAAGGAAGATCTTGCTGGTATCTTCCAAACAGCATTTTAGTGACCTGACATCTTGAATGATTTTTACAGGTCTATATTACCTTTTAAAATGCAAATATGTGAAAGTGCAAAATCTGCCCTTAAAAGGTCTAGCTTCTAATTTTTTGAAGAGTGGACTTATAATCACAATTTTATTAATTTATGGAAATGGACAATATCACTTTCTTTCCATATTTCCTTTCTATTATTAACTGGTTTAAATTATGAATAAGCATCCCTTAAGCTCAATTACTTTAATTCAAAATAGAGTGATTTTTAATAGCAACTAACCAGCAGAAATTAGCTGCAGACATCAAAATTACTACACAATTGAGTATGCAGTTTAGTGCAACCATTTTTCCAGCATTGTGGGCTAGTTGAACCAGTATCAGAAATCACTTATACAAATGAAATAAGGCGTTTTTTTTTAATACTACTGTCCATGCTCACAAAGTCCTTTTTTTTAATAAAAAAAAATAATAATAATAGTAACAATAATAAAAATAATAAATATACTTATTTCGAATAGGGTGGCTATTTGAATACTTTCATGCTTTAGAGAGGGAATAAGAAAACTGAAAAAATATTTGCTAGGATATGAAACATAATATGAAGAGACTGTGAAAGGCTAATCTTAAGGGAGATCTTTTTTTCAGATGAGGAGTCATAGAAACTCTGGATGAGCTTACTCTGCATGGTTTGTCATTTCCCATCCATTCTCATATTGATTGGTGATTAAATATAGACAGAAGAGTGTGGATTAGTCTTTCCACTTCCACATATGACCTACCAAAAAATTGCTAGCAAAGGGACAGAAGAAAATCCATTGCCTTTACTGGAAAAGACATTGAAAAAAAAAAAAAAAAAAAAAAAAAAGAAAATCAGGACAACTGATGTCCCTTACGTGAATTAATATATTCCTGCAGTTATTATTATTTCCAGTCATGCTAGTTTGTAAAAATTGTGAAGTATTAAAACACTGTTGGTGTTGGCAGAAAAATAGAGTAGGTTATCAGAAGGAACCATCTATATTTTTTAGTGAAGAGTCTGAGCTGTATCTCATCGGACAAGACAAAATTTGTCCTCATCTGCCTTTATGACTGGGGCTGGTTAGGGAGAAAAAGAGCACAAGGTGGGGGCAGAGCTGAAAAGGCAATGTCCTTGTGTTTGCCAGCCATCCTCCAGCTGTACAAACATGACGGAGAGCAAAGACTTCTTGATTCTCTTGGTGATCTATGCCATTTTACATGAAGATAGATATTTACATGAGATAGAAATGGAGCCAATAGGACCCATAGAGCAAACTCGCTAGATGGAGGCATAGATCATTAATGCTGGTTGTTCCACGAAATCTGAATACAGTGTGATGACACCTAAAATGTAAAATCCAGTAGAGTAATCTAGCTTCAAGAAAAATTTAGATACCTCAGGAGCATGCTGGCTGCATTTTTCCTCAACAGCAGGTAATTTTAAGTCTACTTTCTTTACAATGAGAGTGATGAGGTACTGGAACAGGCTGCCCAGAGAGATTGTGGATGCCCCATCCATGGAGGTGTTCAAGGCCAGGCTGGATGGGGCCCTAGGCAGCCTGATCTTGTATTAAATGGGAAGGTTGGCAGCCCTGCCCGTGGGTTGGATCTTTATGATCCTTGAAGTCCCTTCCAACCCAAACCATTCTATGATTCTATGATTCCATGATAATTTGGAGACCCTAGTAGAATAGAGAACTATATTCAAATATCTCCTATTGCTTTTGTTTTTTTTTCCCCAGCTGAAAATGTGCAAGATAATAAGGGCTGTCTTGCCAGCCCTTTCTCAAGAAAGTGATACCTTCATGAAATAGAATAGGCAGCATGCACTGGGCAAAGGCATTGAAGCCTATAAAGTTGTGGTAGGAGGCAAAGT